TCTTGAAAGGAAACACTGTGTTTCATTGCTCCCACACACATAAATTGTTGTGGCCATTGCAGTCTGCGTTAATCCAGCTATACAACTACAGATGTACGCCTGTGTCATTGTTTATCTTGTGCTTCTGTTTCTCTTTGAGGTCAAAGATCTGTCTTTGGGCGTTCAGTCAGATTTCCCTGCAGAAGAAGAGGCTCCCCTGGAGAACAGAGCAAGGGATGGAGGGGCCGCCTTGCTGGGTAAGGTCTGGTGCTGGGAGGCCAACGGTTTTTCAACTAGATCTCCTTTTCGGAACGGTTCAAGAGATCCATGGTTGCATTTATATTTCCTTGAGTTTTGAGAGTGGAAGGAAAGCGTTACCACCACACTTTTCTCCATCTACAAAATGCGTTTCAAAGATCAGCAGTTGAGGAATTTGTCTTTCTAGGTGGTAACAGCCATTTGATACATGTCTAGAATCTCGAGAAGAGAAGTGTTTCACCGAAATGACACTGCAGAACTTAAAATAAAGGTTAAGTATAGGATAAATCTTGACAGATCTGCAGTGGACAGGCTTTGCTCATGAACCCTGTCCTATGGTTGCTGTTGTGTTTTAAAGATCAGCAGTTGAGGAATTTGTCTTTCTAGGTGGTAACAGCCATTTGATACATGTCTAGAATCTCGAGAAGAGAAGTGTTTCACCGAAATGACACTGCAGAACTTAAAATAAAGGTTAAGTATAGGATAAATCTTGACAGATCTGCAGTGGACAGGCTTTGCTCATGAACCCTGTCCTATGGTTGCTGTTACAAAAGATTATATTCCAAGGTCATGTTTAATTACCCCAATGCATCTTCAGATTGATAGCAAAATTCCTCTTCTTGACATGGTGTCAGGCCTCCTGGATTTGCCTCTTCTGCACCACAGCTGGTTGTGTGGCCTCTTTCTTCTGGTGCCCTGGTACATTGCATGCCCGCTGTTTGGGATCGTTACTACTGAGGTGCATCACTTTCCTGTGCAGCCAATTTTTGCAGAAGAAGCAGATCAGTGTTGACCCAAAATTTTAAGCATCAGTCCTCCGTTTCTTTTAAAGTTCTTGGCTTTACAGGAGCTGATATGCAGAGTTTCTCCTTGTTTATATCCCTCCAATGTGATCAAGACCTTGTAGGTCTTTTCTTAACCCTTCTACTGCCACTGGAATACCCTGGCTAGGTAGGTCAGGCAGAGGAAGTGTAACTGGTACAAGCCACACTTCCTCTGCCTGACCTAACTAGCCAGGGTATTCCAGTGGGGGCTATAAGACTGCATCTTCCAAGTTCTAGTCCAAGTACTGACCCACACCACACTTTCATATAGAGCAGGGGTCTCCAAACTACAGCCCACGGGCCACATCCGGCCCATCTTGCCATTTTACCAAGCCCATTCCTGTTCCTTGGGCCCTTACAAATGTTGAAAATATCTGCTCTGGCCCTCGCGGTCACAAGTTCAGAGACCCTTGATATACAGTGGTGCCTCACTTAACGACATTAATTTGTTCCCGCGAAATCACTGTAGAGGGAAAATGTCATAAAGCGAAAATTAAAAACCCATTGAAACGCATTAAAACCCGGTTAATGCATTCCAATGGGCTAAAAACTCACTGTCCAGCGAAGATCCTCCATACGGAAGCCTTTTTCGGTGCCTGTATAGCGAGGAATCCGTCCCTAAGAACAGCAGGGAGCCATTTTGAGCACCCAGTGACCATTTTGAAAACCAAATTATCAGCTGTTTTGATCGTCGTAATGCGAAGAATCAGTTCCCAAAGCAGGGAACCGATCTTCGCAAAGCAAAAAAACTCCATTTAAAACATCCTTTTACAATCGCAATTGCGATCGCAAAAACATTGTCATGAAGCGGATTCGTCGTAATGTGGGGTAATCGTTAAGCAGGGCAAGATTGTATAGCAATCTCATGCATTTGGTTGGAATATATCTCACTCTTGTGCAAATGTTTTACATTCTGTCCTTCCCATTTAAATCCAAGATAGCTGTTTAGGTCTAGATCAGTGGCTGGTGTCAGTAATGAACTGGATGAGGGTGAATAAACTGAAACTTAATCCAGACAAGACAGAGGTGCTCCTGGTCAGTCAAATGGCAGAGCAAGAAATAGGGACAAAGCCTGTGCTGGATTGAGGTTACATTCCCTCTGAAAATGCTCCTGGATCTATCTTTGTACCTGGATGTCCAGACTTCAGTAGTAGCCAGGAATGCATTTGCACATTTAAAACTAATGGACCAGCTGCAACCATTCCTGGAGGGGTCTGATCTGGTCACAGTGATACATGCCTTTGTTACATATGCACTGGATTACTGTAATACACCCTACATGGGGTCAGAAACTTTCTTCTGGGGTTCGGAACATGTTTGGAAACTTCAGTGGATCCAAAACTGCGGCCATATTGCTAAATGGGGATGAGTTCAGGGATCAAATAACTCCCTGTTACAGCAACTCCACTGGTTGCTGATCTGTTTCTCAGCACAATTGAAAATGCTGGTCTTTAGCCTATAAATCCCGAAACGACTTTGATCCATGCTATCTCTTGGATCCAAGCGTTTCCCTGCCTGGGAGTTGAGATCATCAGGGCTGGCCCTTCTCTAGATCCCACTACTCTCACAGGTATGTTTGGTATGTTGCTGCTCCCAGACTTTGGAACTCCTTCCCACTGGAAGGCTGGCCTGTCTTTGCGGTCCTTCCACAAAGAGGACAAAAATCTTTCTCTTCAAGCAGGCTTTCCTTAGTGACTGTCTATCTCAGACGGGATTTTAAATGGATGGTTGTGCCTTGTTTGCTTTGAATGAATTTTTTGTGTTGACTGTCATTTTTAGTGATGTGTTACTGTTTTTAGTGATGTGTTACTG